CGGTGGCTCATGTCTGTAATCCCAGCACTTTGGGAGGCCAAGGTGGGCAGATCACGAGGTCAGGAGTTCAAGACTAGCCTGGCCAACATGGTGAAACCCTGTCTTTACTAAAAATACAAAAATTAGCTGGGCATGGTGGCATATTCCTGTAATTCCAGTTATTTGGGAGGCTGAGGTAGAAGAATTGCTTGAACCAGGACCTGGGAGTTGGAGGTTGCAATGAGCCAAGACTGTGCCACTGCCATTCCAGCCTGGGCTACAGAGAGAGACTCTTTCTTAAAAAAAAAAAAAAAAAAAAAAAAAAGGTTATAAATGAGGATTGTATCATTCAAACACTTTACTTCAGATGTGAATATTCATTGCACTTTCTGCTAAGTTACATTTTATCTAGAAAAAGAAATGTAAGGAATACTTTCAGTTATTTCACAACCATACACCCACACTATGATCAGAAACCTCCTAAAAATGAATCAAAGCTCCTTTTCTTAAACTGCAGGTTAAGTATATGTATTATTTTATTAGCATAAAATGATGTGATAGGTTATTCTTAGCATTTCAGAACAAGTATTTTTATAGATCAACATCCAATTATCCACTAAAACAGATTAACAAATAGGAAATAGACTTAGTTTGCATTATTTTTGCTGAAATAGGTGGTGATGAAAGGTGGCTAGAAGTGAGCAGCATGCTGAGAGTAGAAAATCTGAGATATCAAATGCAATATGTTATTTCATAGCTAATAAAACAATAACGAAATTCCCCTGGAAACTTTCGTATTAGTTGATTTAATAACGTAAATTCAGTTTCTTCAAATTTCATACTGAAAACCTACATTACGTGTATTTTGGAGCAGTGCTTTTCTCCTATCTCCTAATAAGAGCTCTACAGGAAAGTATGCAAGCTACCATCTTCATGTTTGAAGGCACAAAGTTTGTCACATTTAAAATTCTGAAGTTGAATGTATCTTAAAATCAATAGGTACAATTAGTAGGAGATATTTAGTTTTGCGGTTTTACTTCCTCAACCTTATCAAAGAGCTGTTTCAAAACTGAGTGCAAGGCTTACAATTTCTGGTAACTTCTAATTATGAAAAAGTAGAATTAATGTATTTTTTAAAAGAAAACAAAGCAATCTTACTGCATGCATTTTCTTGGTAGCAATAGAAACTGATTTATCACGGGGAAAGTAGAAGTCACTTGCTGAGAGCCAGGCTGGGCATGTAATTTGCATAGAAGAGGGAGCAGATTGTCAATGCCCTGACCTGTCAAACACAGGTAGGGCCTCGGAGATAATGGGTCCCAGAATACAAAGCTCCATCTTGATCCAGACAGACGCACACAACATGGAGATGCCAGATGGATTACATGAGAGACAAAAATGCTGGCTTCTGCCGTCTCCACAGGAAGAATGCAAGTGCTGCAGAAGATGACAGTTACCAGATACCACATGGATCCCACCCCAGTCTCTTGGCCCCATTGCTGTGCCCGTGCCATGATTTCCACACTGCTGAGAAGAGGCCAGCCTGTTCAGTGCCATGAATACAGTCACTGGGGAGGGGCTCGACCCAACTGACAAGAGCAATCAGCCATGCCTACGCCGACGTGTCTTACTTGTAAAGAGGAAAAGTGCCACATGATGGTAGAAACCAGAGCCTGCAGCATGGTGGAAGGAGCTCTCTGTTCCTGCTGACCTCCATAACTAGCTTTTACACAATGGCTCATTCTCTAGCCACACATTTCCAGGGTGCACTGCATCCTCAGGAAATGTCCCGTGTGACAAAAAGACCGTCTGCCTAGACAACGGTCCTCTTTTCAGATCCAGGTTCAAGGGGGATGTGGCTTTTTAATTTCTATGGGCAGCTGTAACTGAGTCAGACCATCGGGACAAGAAAGAACCCACTTCCCCTGAGGCCCACTTAGCACAGACAATGGAGGATGTTGGACATGCAGCCAGGGGACACATAGCTAAGGGACAAGCCCAGAAAGGCAAAAATGCAGGAGCACAGCCACAGAGACAGCAAGTCCAGAGACCTGGCTGTGCAAGTCCACAGGCCAGATCCTGAAAATGGTGTGGTTAGGAAACCGAAGGAGGGCTCACTAAGCCGGCCTTCTTTCCAAAGCTGGAGGCAGAAAGTGCCTTTGCATCTTCAGTTTTACATAAGCTGATAGCCTAATGACTACCAGCAGTAACACCACGTTTGATAGACATTTTTTTTTAAAGAAAAACAAAGAGCTTGCTGAGGTATTGAAGATCTAGTAGATACAAGGTCCAGTGTGGGATACCTCACTCACCCACTCATCGATTTGGCCGACATTCATTGAAATCTATGATTTGCCAAGCTTTGTGTTTGGTAAAGCAAGATGAAAACAGATAGGGTGTTTTCCACGTAGGCCTCGCAGAAGGTGAGGGGGTTAGCACGCCAGATGTAGGGCAGTGAGGGGGTACATAGAATCATGGAATGTTAAACTAGGAGGGACTCTGGGAACCATCTAAACCATCTAAGCCAGAACTTTTACAACTTTTTCCTAAATACTCAAAAACACTCTTTTTAAAAACTAAAATTTACGAAGGATCCCCATGTACAGAAGTGATTAAAACAACTGTCAAGGTTGGTGGGGGGCGGGAGAGGGCAGGGGAAGGAGACGCTGGTGGCCTTTCCCACTCTCCAAATCCACCGAGGTACTTACTGCTCCTGACCAGAGATCACAACACACCAACTGAAAGTCAATGATCTAGTCCAAATCTTCAGTTTTACAAATGAAGAAATTAAAGCTCAAGCAGTTGAAGTTTGGACTAAAATCCCAAATTACTTAGAAGAATGTAGATAAGTACGCAAGTCACCTGAATTCCACTTCCGTGCTCATTCCACCCTATAAACACAATTTCAACGACCAAAATTGGAAAAGTTTGGAATTTACAATAGTTGCCTTTCATTTGCCATAGGAAAAGTTCATAAAACTGTTATGCAAAAAATAATAAAAACAGGACTTTTGAAGAATACGACATTTGGTGGTTGTAGGTGCAGTGTGTTTTAGGGCACCTGCCACACGTATATTTCCCAGGTCTTGTCCAGAACTTTATATCTGGTTTGCAAATTGTAATTTGTCTATCCATGTGTTTCATTTCACTTTTTTTCTCTAAAGGACAGATATATGAACGAACTTTAATATATGTTATTTCTCATTTTAAGAAAAATAAGTTTACATAGGGACAAAATCAGATGTCCACATTGGTGGGACACTCTGAAGGCTATCTCTACAGAATTAAAAATATACCTTATATTCATATGTATTCTATCCCATTACATTTGATATGAGTGACATATTGTAAGAGCAAACTGCATTTTTTAAGGAAAATTAAATAACATTTTAACCAGAACAAGAAAAAAGTTCAAAAGCATCACAAATTGTAGATACTTAAAAAATACATATCGAGGGGCCAAAGCATAGTAATTTTTGATTAAATATACACCCAAGATAGAAGCAAGCACTATAATTGTCAAGTAATATTGATTAGGATGGCAAGGAACCATTATTACAAAGGGAAAAAACTCAATAGACTCGAAAGCTCATATGACTCAGGATCTTGGAGACCAGGTTTGGCAGCAAAAATAGGAAATATGCTCTTCATCCTGCAAGAATGGGCTGCATATATTTGTAATCACTGGCTGATCATAGTGAAAAAACTGTCTGGATTTAGATGGAGAATCAGGCGGAGGTGGAGAGAAGTGTAGCCAATCCTCAAAGTTATGCTTTGCATATTACGTTATGACAGAAATATTCATCTTCTCAAATGCATTATATGTATAAGCAAAATACGTAAGTTTTTCCTTATTCTCAAAATGTGGTATTTGTTACTTAAAACTCTTCTTCCCACAAAAGAATTTCTTAGGTATATGTGATAGAAGTGGTCCACTCAAATGTTGAATTGCAAGTAATTTACAATCCACACACATTATCTCTGGTCTCTGCTTTAGCTTTATTCTGTGGTCCCTCCAACTATTCTTACAATAGTTTGATGGGTGAGTCACATTTGAGGTTAAAACACTAAAAGGTAAATTAGTAGTTATGAACAATATAAGATAATCAACAATTTTCACTGTTAGCTCTCCTAAGCCATTTTGCTTCTTAGTAAATATATGAGTAGAGTTTTTCCATTATTTTTTAATAGAATGGTTACTTTAATATAATAAATGTTTAATTCTCTGGAAGGATATATTTGTACCTATCTATAAATTTATTTTTTCTTCAATAAAGCATGGAAAATATTCATATTAACCTTTGACTTTTAATAATCTTGGTTTTAAATATTTTGCAATTTCAAAATATACGCACACAAATATAGCTTGCTAGTTATAGGAAAGCAAGAGTAATTCCTGAAAGCAAAACAAAAACGTGTTTTTAAGATCACAGATTATTACAGATATTCAATGGAGACATCACATTAGGGATACTACAAAGCAGTGGTTTTCAAATATTTTGCTCTCATGATGACTTTATACCCCCAAAAATTATTAAGCACTCTAAATAACCTTTTTGTATGTGGATTATATCTAGCAACATGTACTGAATGAAAACTGGGAAAGTTTGAAAATATTACTTTTTAAAAACAAGCAGCTTCGTGTTAACAAAAATTACATTTTTACCAAAAAATACATATATTCCAAAAGAAGTGAGAACAATGGCACTGTTAAATATTTTTTCAAAATTTTTAGTTTAATATTGGCCTATAAGACAGATTCTCATATCTGCTTCTGCATTCAGTCTAACGTAGTATCACATGACATGTGGCCTCCAGAAAACCCCGATGTATACTTATAAAAGAATGTGAGTAAAGGGCAAATAATATCATCTTCTTATTATGAAATAAGAGATTATTAGACCTCCGAGATCTCAAGAGATTCCCCTGAAGAGTCTTAGGAAACCCCCAGGGCTCCCTGGAGCTCACTTGAAGAAATAGAGTCATTTTAATTGTTACTCTTTCAGCCATTATAAACTTACAGGTCTCCATGCCTTCATCATCATCATCTACCACGGGTTTATCATAAGATTTGTCGATGGCAGCTCTGAAGCTCTCATTGCATCCCCTGCCTCTGATTATCCGTGGCCGTGGGCGATGGAAAGGAATATCCCCATTCAAAGTCACCTCGGCAACTGCAGTCTGCAGACTCTCTAATGAGCTTGACTTTTTCAGACCCAGGGAAGGACCCACATCTCTGCTGGGAGAACCTGGGAGGTTTACAGAAAAAAGTGTTAGTGTGAATTAGTGAAAATTATGTACCTGAATATGCACTGTGGAAAACTTCAGGTACATAACAATTATTTGCTCAATGATGAGTTCTGGAATGTGGATGGAAAAGACAAAGAATAAATGAAGCAATAGTTGCTAATTTTTATTTTTCCCAAATTTATATTAGACTTGGTCTATTTTCTCTCTTTGCATTAGGAAAACCTCTAAGTCATTACTTTTTAAAAAACATTTCAACAGGTGAAACTGTTGTCAAATCGTTTTGCTCCAGTAATAGAAATAATCTAAAAGAACCAGAATAATTAGGAAGCTCCTTTGAAAAGCAAGGGAAGATGAGAAGAAGGATAAGGTAAACAACCAAGAATAAGTTTTGCACTTAATTAAAACCTTTTTTTGGCAATTTAAAATTACTTAAAACAGAAGTTAGACATGGACATCAATGTGCTCTGTCAAGTCTCTTCCTTGCTAAAGTGCAGACTCACAACACTGCATAAGGAGTAAGACCACGGGGGCCGACATGTCACCAAAACAATTAGGGCAACCTGGCAGCAGGTTGGGAAATATGGATATTCCATAGAAAGAGTAACACAAGCTTTGACCAGAAACAGATTATGTAAGGGCTCTCTCCCAGAGGGAAATAAAAAAGGAGAGACTGGATATGAGTACTTCTAGCTCTAGGCCTGGGAATAATACGTTTGAAAAACAGGTGATGGAAAGAAGACAGACAACTTAGCAATTAACAAGAACATTTCATGAGGATGACAGGGACAAATTCCGGCAATTAAAAATTTGGCTCTATTTCCTGAGGATCTAGGGCAGAAGGACCCGAAATAATACCAATAGTGCCAAGCTGTGGAAGGCAATCAAAACTGATTTCTTTAACTAGGTAAGACAGCCTCATCTATCACTGCCTGACCTGACACTCAAAGGTAGACTAATTTAGCTTCTGGATGACTGAAATGCCAGCTCTGCACCACCACTTGGGCAATCCAGGTTATAGAACTGGTTCTTCATGTATACTATTAAAAAGACAGGTGAAAAAAATAGAGGGTAGGAGAAACAAAATAGTTTATCTCTGTATGGGGTCATCAGCCCATATGTTGATCACGTTATTACCCAGAAGACAAGTAGTTGTGACACAGGCTTTTCACAGCTCAGAAAATAAAACAGAATTAAAATTACACTGAAAGACTCAAAACAAAAATTAACTTTTTAAGATTCATTGAGGTTAAATGAAGCTGTTTTAGGTAAGAATAGATATGTTTAAAAATGTTGCACAAACAGGAAGGCAAACACATGATTCTAAGGAAGAAATAATACTCCACAAATTGTTGTGCTGGAAATAAAAAGATGTCATATTTAGCTTTCTCAATGCGGGTTTGTCTACATTTCTTTATTTTATGACAAAAGTTCATGAGATTTATTTCTTTCAATGAGATCAATCTTACTTTTTCTCTGGGTAGCACTACAATTTTTGTCATGTCACGGGAAGGAAAATGAATTTTGTTCCAAAAACCTATATAATAAGAAATCAAGGTATCAAAAAGAATGGGAAAAGATCATTCCTGGGCAGGGATATTTACCTTTATAGTTCCTAGAATTTGCACTGGAAAGATCTTTTTGTGAATAAATGCCTATCAGTTTTCATAATTTACCAGCTATATTTGGGTTCTATAAACACGTATTAGGCAAATATTTGGTGCTTTCTTGGGTTTATTAAGGATATGTGTATGTGTGTATGTATTTGTATGGGAGTATATATCATGAATAAAGATTTCATGCTTCCAGAAAGAATTCTCATAAAAACACCATTTATATATATTAAGCTTTTCTTTATGTAAAGTTAGTTGAGATTTTACTTAGTGTACTGAGAGCAATACAAACTTAAATAATGAATTTCAGGAATGGCATTAGTGTTCATTAAAATTGAGTGTCCCTACAGGCAAACTAGGAAAGAAAAACAATGGTCAAAGTATAATTCAATAAATGATAATTGTGTAAGTTCTATTCAGCGCTTACCTACCTATTCATTTCCCTAAATTGAAAACATTCTGAAATAACCTTTTGGCAAAATGTTGATCATTGTGGATGGTGGGCCCTGAGTTTGTGGAAGGTCAATCAACTACTCTCTGTATATTTACGTAGAGATGAAAACTTTTATAATTAAAAAAATATACAAAATGTCAATTATCTAGAACTTCTGAATCTGTAACACAGATCAGCAAACCGAGAGTCAAATGTGGAAAATTTTACTGGAACACAGCCATGCCCATGTATTTACATATTGTCTATGGCTACTTTCATTCAACAATGGTAGAATGTAAAAGCTGCAACAGAGACCTAAAATATTTACCATCTGTTCCTTTACAGAAAGAGCTTGCTAACTTTCGATTTATAACATGAGCAACGTACATTTTAGTACTATATTTGACCAAGAAACTATAACAAAGATTTTGAATGATATGTTAGGATTTCTCAATGAAGTTATTAAAATCCCTAATACATTGATTCAGTCAAGTGCCTTTAGAAAAAAATTAGAAGGATTCCCTAACAATACAAACTTAGCATTTTACTAGTAATGAAAATTGAAAAAGTCTTTCTGTATGTAAAATACATGCAAAAGATTGTCTTTACACCATAAAAATCAGTATCTTTTGTCTTAATTTTAAAACAGTATTTTAAGCTCTTACTTTACACAAATCTTTTAGGTCATTAGCATACTTTGCTAATCTTTATATTTCAAGAATGAAACCATTAGAAATACAATTCTCTTATACCTGTTCTCCCTTGTTATAATTTGGGGAGAAATATTTATCCCCAAAATATGATACAAGATTCCTAAATCTGGAAGAAAAAAAAAAAAAAGAGGGAAATCATAGTCATACTATTTTCCTAGATCTGGTTTTTATTCCTACTTAGTAATATCCCTATTGCCGGGAGAGGGAGAGGGAGAGGGAGAGAGAGGAAGGAAGGGAGGGAGGGAGGTCTTTTGCAAGGGGCAGAGGGAAATGTAATTCAATTTTCATTATGAAAGGCTTATGGCTAGGTTAGACAGATGCTCAATGCTAAGATGCCACTATGATTCTCCCAAAAACCTTTGGACTAATCTACAAAATCATAATCTTTCTTGAAAACTCAAGTCAAGTGAAGTGACGAAAGAAAGATAAGTGAAAATCTTTTCACCATCTAATATTAGAGGACAGGGACATAATAAAATACTTAAGGTATTTTATTCATTTAGATGTAAAATCAACAGACCAAGTATTTTGATATCTTTGTAACAACTTTTTGCCCCAAGATTTTCTAATTTAATTTGGTAGAATAGACTGCACAAAGTGCAAAAAAAAAAAAAAAAAAAATCTTTTTCTCTAGAATCTAATACTTTAAAACACAAAAGCAGTCTGATTTTTGATTAGACTATACAATCAGCCTTGAAACTTATGTAATGACTTTCCATGAAAGTTATCTAATGCATTGAGTTATAACTTGTATATCATTATGTTGTAGATCACAATAAACTGTCCTTTTCCTTATAGTAGCTGTGAGTTGGTTAAATTAGGTATTTTTCTTATTTTACCTAACTGACATTGTATATGAAGTCAGGTCCTTTAACCTGAGCAGTTCAATTTGGTTTTTATGACTATTTACTCGGATTGGGGTTGTTGCTTGAAAAGTACGAAATACTGCTAACTGTAAAAACTACTATTTCACATATGTGAACTATCCCATAACATTTCTCTTTAGCTCTGATTCAATAAACTTTAGGTTTCATAAGAACAACAAACAACTCAGTAAGGGCTAAGGCTACAATTAATTGCCTCGCAATACAGTTAATCTTATGATTTATTAGATGTATTTTTTACGCCTTCTCTTATACTCCACAGAATATAACTCCAACCATGTCCACAATAATTTTTACATATATATGTGGGATATACATTTTTTAAGCACGCTAAAACTAATTTACTACTGCAGGTTAAAAAGGCAAATTGAAGCTAATTAGTGCTAAGTAGTGTAACTACATCATACTGGATACAGATTAAAACACTATTCCAAACTTATGTCATAAATGGTCAATTATACAAAGCACGTTAACTACACTTAAAAGACTTTCCTGTGATTACTGTCATACAATAATAACATAAAAAGCAAAATCGATGACTATAATACAATCCCAATTCAATATAATCCATTGTTTCTATGGAACAATTTAACAATATTTTAGAAGTAATGAATTTAGAACAAGCTCACAAAGTTAAGAAATGAAACCATATGCATTATATAGTCTAATACAATGTCAGGTTAACTATAAGCTAATTCCAGCATCAATAAAAAGAATAAGCCTTTCTGAATGACTAATGATAGCAATACCAGACGTTGTCCTACAATGAAAAATATTTATATTGGCACTACTATCTTTCAAATCAAAATCACCACTCTGAGAATCACTTTTTGGATGTTAACCTAGACATCACATAGATGACTTAAAACCTAGGAGTCCACCATAACAGATCATGTTTGCAGGATTTTGACTTTTTAAAAATTGGGATAAAACATCTTTACATGAATATAATTAAGAAAATCTAGGTTGTTTCTAGCCTTTTTGAAGCAGTAAATTATATTCCTATTTAGTAAGTACACCATTGATAAATTTCTACTAACAGAAAATATTTCTTATGTAATTTGATTTCTCACAACGAAAACATCTGTGTAAGACTGGAATATGTATGTTTACATGGCATATGATTGGCAGCTCTATAATTGTGATAAGCTCTATAGGCCATGGTTTCTATGGCAACAGTCTAACTGTCCATTCTTACCTGCTTTCTGGTCATCCACTGTATTGAGTTTAGTCTCGTCAGCTACTGTTAAAAGGTAAATGTATAATGGTTAGCCCAGTTAGTTCCCATAGCCCATCATGCTTCCACCATTCCCAGATCTTTTCAGTTAGGTGACGATCCTCAGCTAACATGTCATGCAAATACTATGAAACATCAAGCAAACATTCATAATCAAAAAAGGAGGAAAAAAAAGCAGTGTCTCCATGCAATATGCCAGTCATTTCATTTCACAGACATGTGTGTTATATGTTAGCATATCATAATTAGCCAAGGCAATGCATCATCAAATTTTTCTTTATGCATATGATAAATTAATGCTTTTAGTCTTGGAATACAAACAGCCACCAGAGAACAGCATAAGTTACAGTTGATTAACAAAGGTTTTAAATCATTCAGTGTATAGATATAATTATTTTACTTTTTTTTTTGGTGGATTTGGATTTAAAGAGACACACCTGATTGGTGTTTGAACAACTATGATTATTTTCCTCCTCTCATTTGCTCTTAAATACTTTCTATAAGAAATACTCTCAAATTACTACTTTGATTAAATGCCTTAATTATCAAAACATGAAAGTTTCCAATAAATAAACCTTAAAGAACAGCAATGAAAGGAAGACATCATGAAGTAACCAAATTCCAGACATGGATTGAGATAATGGTTTCTCTCCAAAATTTTCTCTTCTAGTTGAAAAATCCCACCACCAACCTAATACAATTTCAATGAAACTGGTTTTAAATAGCCAAAGTGTTAAAACATTTCATTGTGTAAAATAAAGATACATGGACATAGTATGATATGCACATGTGTTTGTTTCCATTCTCTTAAGAAAACATATATATTAACATATTGCATACTATGTAAACATGCCACTTATGAGTAATATCGTTATCTCAAACCGGGAGAAAAACTAATTTTTGCCAAATTGCCACATTTCACATTTATTTTCTCAAAGTAAACAGACATCTGTTTGGGACCATCAATTTTATCCTGAAAGCATTTAAACCTTATTTAGATAAAGATTCATGGAGATTGTACTCACTACCTAAATCCATGCTTTTTGATTTTCGTGTTTTAACGAAATCCAATTGACTGGCATCTGAAAATTGCTTTGTGCGTTTTTCTGACATACTCTGACGTCCAAATCCTTCTCGTTGAAAAGCAAGAACTGGATCAACATCTGGACTCAAAGAGCTGGAGTGAAGAAAAATATAAACATAAAAATATTTACTAAAAATAGCAGACATCCATTTTAGGGAGGTTCATACATACCTGCAAATGTGAATATACATAGGTATATTCCTCAAGAAAAATTGAAATAAATAACACAAATACAGTCCATTAAAAAAGAACTGCGGCTGTATAGAAGGTGATAGAAAAATACAAAATTAATTTAAATTTAGAGTAACTCTTCCTCCATGTGAATATCCTCCTTCTCTACTTTCCTGCTTCTTCACTCTGACAATACAGAATTATTTCAAGGTGACTATAAAAAATGAGCCTGATATTGGAATGATTGAATTTTTCAGGAAACCTGTCATATATTATATACAAATACTAGCAGCGAACAAGTGACCATATAAGTTGTAATTAAATAGAAGTTTCAAAAAGAGTATATTCTAGCCTTCTTATGTATCTTTTATGTTGTGTTTTAAGGAAAGAAAAAATGTCATTATGGCATGCCATTTCATAAGGCTGCAGTTTCTCTGAAATATTAAATCAACAAATCAATTCAACAAACATTGATTAGAACCTATTCTGATTGAGGGACTGTTATTTGTACCAGACATAGGTCCAAATAACAGATAAGAAAGATCCCTGTACTCTATGAGCTCACAAGAAAAATACTATAGCAGAAGCATGAAACAGAGGCTGAGGATGCACGGATGAATGAAAAAACAGTATATGAGAGTCAGGAAGAACATGACTAAGTTTAGATGACATTTGATTTTGGTGACACCAACACAGTGGCTCAAGTGGGGATGATAAGGAAGCATATGGCAAATCCCTGGTAACGGGATGCCTTCTGAAGTGTTCCTCCAATGCAAGATGTCCCAGAATCACTCCTGTTTGTAAAAATCTGTGAACACATTCTAAAGTGCTATAAGGTGTTCTAGCCACAGTTCATAATATGAAAAAGGTTTTCTCTGTGCTGGGTACATTGGGTAAGTAAGTATACTAGCTCTACTATATCAGGTCTAGCCACCTTACCTATCTGGTCAGGTGAGAGAACATCCCTCTACAGCTGACTGAGCACACTAAAAATGCCCAGGGCTCCTTCCACTGTCAGCTGAACTTATGATAGTCTTCCTCATGTTTCTGATGGAAGCAAGCTTTTGTAACCCTTTATGGCCTTATAAGAATTATCATCCATACTAGTAAAAAGACAGTCAACCTTTGGATGTACATCAGAAATTTAGCTGCAATTTACTGTGCATGAAATGAGAGTTGGCTCTTAAAGAACTATGCTAAAAGTGTGAAAAGTAAGATAGCAGGCAAAAGCCACGCCACTGGGTAGGGTGACTTGAAATGTTTTCAGCTCATTATGTATTAATATATTCAATAAGAAGAATAGTTGTCTCACCCACTTAAAAAGCTAATGAGAGAATGCAGCAACCTAAGGTGAAAGCCCCATGTAAATTGCTAACTACTAAACAAGTCAGTCATCACCCAATGAAGACTATCTCAAATTATCAAAGTAATACAAATTATGATGACAGACACCTACCCTCAGATGCCTCTTCATATACTACTATGCTTTGGTGTAAATGGTTTATAAAGATGAGAGCACATGAACCCAAGTGAAAAAAAACACACTTCTAGAAGTAAAAAATTAAAACCCATATGATAATATGACACAATCTTGCAGCAGCAAACTCTAAATAATACATTTCCAATAATTCTTTTATATATTGTCAGTGGATCTCTTCAGTCACTCTGTACATGCTGACCAATTATTTTTACCTTTTCTGGAATAATTTAAAATCTGAACTCCAATACTGCACCAAACTTGCGAACAGAACGCATTTGAACTACAGTGTTAGTAGAAATCGTTGGTAAAAGATTTTTCAAAGAAATACAAATTGTCACTGCCAATCTTGCCTGAAAACCACGTATTGGTGCATCTTTAATTTTATAACCTCTAAAATTATGCTGCCATTAAGATTAGAACTTGCTGTTATTTCCTTTCCCCCAGAAACACATTATTAATGTTCTTTCAATCAATTAATGGATTGAAAACAGTATATTCTATAAACAAACAAATAAGTTTAACCATTTGACATAGCCTTCAACAACTGTGCAGTGAACTACAGATACAATTTAAAATGTCAAATGAGTTTGTACATTAGTAAGAGTTTTAAAATAACTAAATACTCTTAAATTATGACAAAATTAATTCTTCCCTATCAATATTCCCATTAAACTAATTTCAGACACAATAAACAGTACACTGGAATATTTAACAAGTTAGATTGCAGGAATGACAGCTGATTCTTTAAAGAATGTAACCATATCTTGACCCCTAATGTTATTAAAATTCCAGTTATTAATCCTGTCTTATTGGCCTTTTGTTTTCATAACATTTTCATCAAGGATTAGGGAAGATATTGTCAGGCTGGAAATGCCTGCATTTTCTGCTGTGATTCAGAACAGCTGCCATTCTTGTTTGGATAACCCTTCATTCATATTATTTTCTTTGTCCCACATTCCCCACAGCAAAATTATACAAGTCCTCACCATTTTGCAAATCCCCCTTAGGGAAATTAATGCCACAGTCTATCCCTTCTAGTTATTTATCTATTTTTACTAATATACTGCTTTATAAGGCCCCAAAGACTATGACCACCTCCACAATTTCTCATCATGGTAGAGATTTAAAGGCTTTTGTCCCTAAGATGAATACTGCGTCTATCTAATCCTTGCTTTCTCTGTTGTTACTTTCATTTTCAGAAAGAGATATGAGACACAGCAGTCAATGTAACACCATTTGCAGATTTCAAATGGGTTTTTACTTTATATTGTAGTCGTCCCTTCTATGTTTAACCAAAAACCTCATTCAAAGATGGGCCATTATCATGCAGGTTTGAGTGTAGTTCTATTTTTAAATCCTGTGCTTTCAAAAAGAGAATTAAAAAAGAAAGAAATGAAAAGCTAGAGATGAACTTTTCAAGGTCCCAAATAAGAGGTGTGATTTATTCCAAGAGAACATCTTCATAATTAACAGATAAATGAACTGTATTTTGTGTGTTCATGTGGAGAGCCAGGGAAGAGGACGGGGGGGAGTGGTTCACTTTGTTAAGATCATTACTAAAAATGTTAACGCAAATAAATGCCAGGCCCCCAGACACCTCCTATCTAATATTAATGTTGACACAAGCCAGAAAAACAGTAGGAAGCAGGAATGGCTAAGTGGTGAAGAAACAACACCATAACATTTAAATATGATTTTGCTGATATATTCATAAAAGACCCCAGAGAAAGGGCAATGAGAAAATTCTGGTACAATACTTCACATGGTTTGTGTTAATTATCACTACAACCTTGTGAGGTCGTCCCCAAGAGGAGCTTTGCTTTTGCTTATTGATGTATATAATTACTAGGCATAAACACTAAGACACACATCTGCATTCATGAGCCACACATTGGCTCAGTAGTATCAAATGCTTTCTTCTATTTTGAAAGACACAGGAAAAAAAAAATTAGCAGGGAGTGCCCCAGAAGTCACTATGTTAAAAGCAATTACAAAGCATTTTAAACAGTATGGTTATAGCACTCTGGAAAAAAACAAAAACAAAAAACACACACTTAAAAAAAAGCCTCCTCCCACTCTTAGAACACATCAACTGTTAGTTTTGCAAAGTTATCTAATTGTTGGAATTGATTTAGGGAGATGACAAGAATTTAATTGAAAAACAATGCATCAAATTAACACAGATGTGAAATAAACCACAAATAGTGAAACTGAAAAACAAATGAGCATGGTTTTTTGATTGGTAGTAGTTCTGTTGTTGTTTTGGTTACATTACTAACTGTAGATCTTGAAGGCTAAAACAATTAAATTTACAGGGTTGGGGCAAAATCTTTTATTAAAAGAGTGATAATTAAGTATATAAAAACCATTAAGACAGAGCATGGCTATTAAAAAAATGATTAACTGTATTTAGTGGTAAGCCACTTAAACATAAGATGTGACTGTAATTAATTCATGTTTTCCAAACCTGGACGATGAGCTTACCAGTCGGCTGAATCACTGATTGCAGCCTTGGCCCAAGTACCAGCATCTGCCGTCACGAACCCCACATCATCATGCGAGCTGGAAGAGGACTGGTCAGAGAGATGTGGAGGAAGCACTGGCAACCTGTCATCTTCTATAATGACAGTGTCATCTTGGGGCATATTCACTGTAGGGGACAGCTGGTATTTACCTGTCCAGTGAAAAAAGAAGAGAAATTCTAGACATCGATCAAAGTGTTACATCTATTAATTTTAATACTTTGCTATATTAGTAAATGTCTAACTTTCCATATATCTGCTCAACCTGGTAGAACAAAACAGAATTTAGCACATTTATTTTTCATAAATGATTGTCAAACAGAGACCTTGAGTCTATACCTCTGACGCGACAACTGTATAGCTCAGGGCAATGCATGCAATTTTTCTGGTTTTAAGTTTCCTAAAGCCAAAGATACTCTCTCAAATGTCTTCTAATGTGAAAATGCTACGTGCATTCTAAACTATGAATGTCTTTTGAAAAATTTTACCAGGAAATTTACGAAGAAGCCCCACTAACTTGCATTGTTCATTCATTCATTCATTCATTGAGCAACTGCCGCAGAGCATGTACTGTAAGACACAGTCTCTGTCCTTAAAGGGCGTATGCCCTAGTGAAGGAGAAAGAATTACAAGCACTGATAATTGTATGGTGGTGTGAGAGATGAGCCCAAAGCCATTCACTTGTGTTGTAATTGTCTGGGTCACTGCGGGTGGAAAGTGCTGGAAATCTTGGCAAAATTAACATCAGAATTAGGTTTTAAATGGTCAATATTATCTTTTCTGCCAGAAGAAATGATGACATTTATTTTAGATATCAGCAACATCAGTATTAAATGCATGATGGAGAAAAGTCCATGGTGCAGTCAGGTGACACTTAAAAGATGAGTATCACCAGAAACAAAGCCTAGAGAGATACCTGGAGTGATCTTGATGCAAAAAATTAGGAGCTGAGTGGCCAGAGGTTTTCAGGCCCTGACTGAGGATGTTGGGATGGCATATACAAGCTTGAAGGATTTTTAAAAGTCTGTATTGTATTGTTCCAGACATTTCAGCAAAGGAACAGAATTTATTTAAATTGCTACATCTTTTCAGGATAACTCACAAAAAGTAAACTTGCTGGAGATTTCAACTGCATTCCTCATTTAACATCAACTTCACTATTGTAGTAATACTGTAAGTTCACTGAAACCTCTTCTCGGCATGTTACCAAGAAAAACTTTCTACTTTGATTTCAAATGCACCCATTTTGACAAACTATGAAAATTAACAGCTTTATATAAATGCTAATGATAAAAATGTAAATCAAATGTAATACTTTGCCATTTCCCTTACCTGAATTCAAATTACTCATTTATTTCTAATACAGTGTTAGAATATTAGGATAGAAACCTGTTCAGCAAAAGTAATATTCATCAATAAGACAGGACTTTCTAGCACTATTAGCCAAAGAAATGTTTCCTTCTCAAGACATACTTTTTTCTTCAAAGCATATAGAATTGTAAAACCAGTTACCCCAATGGACAACTCACCACTGAGGAGGCATGTCACAATATTAAATACCAAGTCCCCACACGGGCATAATTTTTTAAAGGAAATATTACAGTATAATCATAGTGCATTCATTTTTAAACACAAAACTAAAACTCCTGGTTTTACACAATATATTCTGAGAGATGGCCTAATAAGCAATATGGAACACTGAAAGGTGCATATGATTTTTCTTTTTGTAATCTGTTGTTCTGAGAAGAAATATTGTACCTTAACTGTTGTGATACAATATTGTATACACAAATAAATGGCTAGAAATCTTCCTCATAGTAAGAAAATAATTTAGCATTTTTTTTCTCACCCATGATTTGAAAGGCTAACATTTCACAAGATTTGAAAATTTCTATTTTCTGCTTCTTAACATGCTTGCCAGGAATATAGTTTTGGGTTATGGCTCCAAGATTATATCAGGGTAACGGACAGCTAAAAAACTTAACTACATATTCTACTAAGCTCCACCAAGACAATACAACGATCCCTTAATTATGTTTGCTAGTAGTTGGCACATGATAAATGTGAAACCTTCTATGACTTCAGAAGGCTTCAATTTATTTTTGATAGGTAAATTTTCCTCTTTCTTCAACTAGTTAACTGTGACCTACAAACTAAGTAAACTAGTCAGTGTCTTGTAAAGGAGTGAAACAAGGAAATACAAAATGTTTGTTCACTAAACATTTATTCATTGGCAAATTTACATAGAAGGTAACACCACATATGATACTAGAAGAAAACCGTGCCAGTGACATGACTCACAATAAAAACATTAATGTTCCATTTTTCTATGTCAAATTGCTAACAAGATAAAAATGTTCTAAATATAACGTCTTCTTAAACTCACCACATATATATGAATATACAAACTACTGAGATAAATTCTAAAACGGATACAACAGATTTCAGTTTTGTTTTAAAAAGAAAAATTATTCAGCTAAAAAAGTTGAGAAAAAGTTAAAGTCCCAGGCTTACAAATGACAACGTGTGATGTCTTGTATGAAATGGATGTGCTGGTTAAATTAGTTATGCCGATCATCCTTGTTGCTGTTTTTTGTTTAGTTTGGTTTTGTTTTTTTGAGATGGAGTCTCACTCTGTTGCCCAGGCTGGAGTGCTGTGGTGCGATTTCAGCTCAATGCAAACTCTGCCTCCCGGGTTTAAGCGATTCTCCTGCCTCAGCCTCCCCAGTAGGTGGGACTATAGGTGTATACCACCACATCCAGCTAATTTTTGTATTTTTTGTAGAGACAGGGTTTCATATGTTGGCCAGGCTAGTCTTGAACTCCTGACCTCAGGTGATCCACCTGCCTGGGCCTCCCAAAGTTTTGGGATTACAGGCATAAGCCACTGTGCCCAGCTGCCTTGTTGCTGTTTTTGATTGTTAGTTAAGAGAGACCAACCATTAGAAAAATTAAGGCTTTTCAAAGGAAGAATCCTATGCAGGCAGGCCCACTACAGATTACTTTCTGATAAATGTTCAGGACTATTAGAAAATCCATGATAGTGGGAATTCTGTCAAAAGAGATGACACAGAAATCTTGTCTTTGGTTACAATCCTGGCTGACCCCAATAAAAGCTAAGGAAATCCTAATCAGGTGTGACTCATGACAAAGAAAAGCATGCATCCAAATTTTGGTTCAGAAGTACAGAAAGTGTGCAGCTTCTGTTAAGTTACTTAATTTATTTGCTCCATAACTCCCCGACATATAAGGTAAGTCGGTTGGAGTACGTGGTTTGAAGGCTGTTTTCAAAGATTTAACGTCTTTGATGTTTTTAGTCACCGTAGGTGCCAGGATAGAACAAGATATGGAGACTTTCGAATATCTGCTTACAGATATAGATAATTATAAATTGATACTAATAAAGAATGAAGATCTCAGCATTCCCTAGAGAAGGCTATTTTTAGAAAAAGGAAATAGCCAAAAACAAAGTAAAACAAAAAACATCCTGGGATATCAGGACTTAGTTCCTTCATCTGTTAAGTGGGAAAGTGTGACTGATGGCATCTGACATCCTTCCAACTCTAGAAGCTCTTCCTTTTGGGGTATAGCTTTTAAAAGCCTTTCTCCAGGGATGTGTTCACAAAGGAATGCATCACAAAGCCTCAAAGCTCCCTGCAGCCTAGAGTCCTACACAGGCGATTATTCCGTATGAAAATTCAACCTGTTAACACAAAATTAATAACTCCCTAAGGTAAAGAGCCAGAATTTCAATACAAAGTTCTTTTTGTATCATAGCAGATCATGAAGTAAATACCTTCACCTCCACTAATGTCTACATAGGAGTGATTCCAAACATTTAGAAGACAATTATTAACCAAACAGTCTGAGGAATTTCCACATGCCTAGATAATGTGCAGTTCAATAAATACTGTTGTTATTGGTTTAGATGAATGGAAATCCAATGTTCTAATGTCTTTGGAACTACGGAATTCATGGCTCAGAAAAACATACATCCAAATTTTGGTTCAGAAACTGTGATTTGTCAAGTTTCTTAAATTTTGTGCCCCATAGCTCTCCTAATGCCCTGTTTGGGCGTTCTGTTGCAAGGTAACATCTTGAACAGGATTTCTAACTTTAAGTGGTAACTATATCACAAATCGCATTTGATTATTATGGCCAATGATATTAGAATAAGGACTGACGAAGAGTGAGGAATTTTCAGATTTGCAAAACACAAGATGAATCAAAATACGCATATACACTTGTCAGGGTAAAACTATTTAGAATCCCTAGTTTCTGGTACAAATTGTAAAAAATTATCTTAAGAAAATATCCAAATCACAAAAACATCAACTTAGCCTACCCTTAAATAGTAATGCATTTGTCACCCCCAGCCCAAAATGGTAAAAGGGCATACACATTACAAAACAGAGAACTGGGAGAGAAGTTACTGCCCTAAGGAGGCATCTGGAGTATTAAGAGTTCATTACATATCTAGCAGAAGGAAGAGGAAACAATGTCAACTATAATGCAAACCGAAGAGGACTAATAAAGCTGTAGCTAACAAAATCAGGGCAACAGACTAGGAAGAAAATGAATGACTCTTCAACTCATATATACAGCATTTCAAAAGGCTACTAGCTGAATTTAGGGATTTTTTTTTGGTTTGAGTTTTAGTTTTAGTTTTTCGCCTTCCTCTGAAGCATCAGGGATTGGAGGCAGGACGCAGGTTACAGGAACTGGTGGACCAATGGTCTGATTCAGTATGGCAAGTCCTATGTTCCTATAATAAAGGGGAAATTACAGCATATCACTTTGTGTGCACACATTATCTAGGGATACATGCACACTCTTTCTCTCTAAAGGGGACTGAAATTTCATCAATAAAAAAATAATTTAACAAAGATGAAGTTTTATACCAAAGCCAAGAAAGTACGGAAAAACCAACAGCAGTGAAGAGAGTGGTAAGTAATAAGCAAAGATTTAAAAGTGAGAAACTATGTACAAAGCCTTTCACCTACAGGTGTTCAACCCAACAGGTGTGGCACTCTTCCCTGATGTTCACTTATGCCAAGCAGGTAAAAAGAAAAATGTTGACAAAGTAAAACCAGAAAGCTGGCTTGTCTAAGTTCCACAAGTAACAAGACAAGAAATTACATATTCAGCAATTTTTCTAAATTAGAAAGCTAGAGAGATTAGAGGAAGAAAAACAGACAATTCTACTAGACATGTTTATGTATGTTTTTGATGATGCCCAGTAGATAGTTCTTTGAAGGCAGAGATTGCTTCTTACTCATCTTTGTATCTATAGCAAAAGTATATACACAATGTCTTGCCAATAGCAGACTTTCCATAAACACCCACTGATGAATAAATTACTGTTTCAATGAGGCTCCATAATGGAAACTTGAATTATACCAAATCTGCATTAAATGTACTCGAAATAGAGTTAAATTTAGGGTTTTACTTTAAATGAAAGCCTTGTAAAATATACCAGTAATAAAAGTGCTTTATGTCAGGTGTTACTTTAATCAAAATGACTTCTTGTGTTTTAAATTTGAAAACTCTCACAAGCTAATCCCAAGATGAGCAACTCAGTAAATCCAACCACTCCTGTGGCAAAGCAAGTCTTTATTAACTGGATCTGTTAGTAGAAAGCTGAACTGCTGCAAAGCAAGTGCTAATAACCTCATTACCCACTGGGGGCCATGCAGATAGGATGGTACTGAATCCAAACAAAGGATGCAGAAGACTAGTTTCGGGATTTTAAAACTAAGGCTTCAGAAAAGTAAAATACAATTAAAATACAGTAACATCCTATTAAATACAAATCAAATACATGTGAATATTTTACATATGTGTGCGTATATCTATATATACATATTTTTTCTCCCCCTCCAGGCAGTACCATTGTGAATGATATGTAACTTTTGAATCCTTCTTGCCATAAGCCATTAAATTTTTATTTCTTTTTAAACATAGCTTCACTTATTATTTCAAGTAAGTAAAGAATATCTTGATCACTGGAAAACATTTCCATATGATCCCTTTCTTTTTGGTTCTTTCCTCATGTTACAGGATCTACAAGTCACTTAAATCAATGGGTTGATTTACCTCTTCACATGAACACTTCCTGAATGATTTTAATAAACCTGTTCTCCTTTGTCTTGAAAACATTATATTTTTATTTACATTAATATTACACTAATAACCTCTCAGTAAACCAATGAAAGCATCAAAGTAAGATGTGATAAACAGAGTTTTACCTGACTCACCCATTATCCTACTGAGAGCAGCATTTCTGCTAGGCGATTCATCAAGCCCCTCAATCCCACTGTAGAGGGAATGGGAAATTCTTCGTTCTCTATCATCCAACGCTGTTTCAACGGGCAGCTCAGGTCCAGGGGGGCTCCCAGGTGACTTTAGCTACAGAGTAAGGGGGGTGGGGGCAAAGAAAAATCAGTACCTGGAGGCCCATGAGCAGCATGGGGGAATTATAACAACTTGCCCAAGGCCTGTATCCAACAGGGTACCAAATGAACTAGAACTTTTCACCCTGTACCAAAATAATTTGTGATGACAGCTCTGCCTAATGACCACCTTTCTGTGCCACTTTATACCATGCCTCCCATGAAGTTCTGTCAGATTTCAACCACTGAGGGAAAAATATGTATATTTAAGGCTTTTTAAAAATCAGAGCTCGCTGTTTATTTTTCGAATTTGACTGTTAGTGTCTGTTTAAGTCAATTTAAGTTACAGTGTAATTCAGAATTCTTTACTAGATGTTACTCTATAAAAGGTGTGCTTTATCAGAATGGAAGCTGCAATTTAGCTACAGATCTTATACTTATGGTATGTAAATACATCTAACAATTAGCACACATTTTTCCATGTGTGCTGGTGGAATTATTACCTACTCTACAAGACCTAAAGACTCTATTTATCAGCTCACGTGTCTTGAACAACACACTGATTTTAAATTCCTCCTGCTAGAAATTAAGAATAATCATGGTATTATCTTACTGTAATGTTTAAGACAGCAGCTGCAATAATCACTTTAGTAGTATGCAGAACAATATGAAAATCGGGACCAAATATTCTAATAAAGCACACAAAGAGGATTTCAAAAACACATACAATCTAATAAATAAGCAATGAATGTATGTCAATTTCAATGACAATAAATTAAAATGGTATGGGGCATTTCTTTAAACAGTTAGCTGTGTCTGATAAGTCATATTTTACATATAATTAATATAGTAAGAAATTCACATTTGTAAGGCCTTCAAAAAAATCTGTTTTAAGGAAGAACAAAGTACATTTAACTACAATCTTCACGACGCAGGCTCTGAGGTTCGCCACAAGGATGGTATGATGCTTTGGTGTTAGCCAGTCAGGGAGGGCCAATGTGGGGGAGTAGGCAGGAGGGCAGCACCACACAGCACAGCAAGAGAGAAAGTGCTCATCTCACACATGAAATCACAACTGTCGCACTTCCTTCAGCTGAACAAATTATTATTTCTGTTAGAAGCTATCATCTGTTTAATATAAATGAGATATTTAATGAAGTTCCGAATTGTAGACTTATCTCTCCCAGTTTGATAAGCACTGGGGAGATTTAATGCATTGAAGGGTCAACACAATTACAATTGGAGGCACGTCAAACTGCAGGAGAATAATAAACTTGCAGCTCTAGTGAATTAGACTCAATAAGGTTTAAATTGTGAAATGAGGATTTGTTTTATTAGGTTTTTTTTTTTTTTAAATTGTAGATTACAACTGACAGCTTTACTGAAAAGTAAATTAAATATTCAAGGTCTCTGATGTAAAGAAATAAAAGAACAGTTTCTAAAAGAATGTAATGCCTAAATTCCATGAGACTCTGGAGAAGTTTAAAAAAAAAAAAAAAAAGCTAATAAAACGAATACCCTATACCATTAAGAACAAGTATAGCTTTTCAATGAATACACACACTAAAAAGTATACCTACATAAAGACTTGCTATATAAGACTCTAAAACAATTTATCAAAAACATATCTTGAAGCTTGCCTGAAAAATGTATTTAATTGAACTGTATAATGCTGCAATGTTCTTCATGATAAAACCTTTATAAAACTTCTTGAGAAATCCCTAAATATCCCAAAAGGCTATTTTAAAATTTTATAAAGCCAAATAAAAATTCTGTTAAAAAGTAGTACACGCATGTTTTCTAGAGAAAAGACGCCTGTTCAGAAAAAAACCAAGCACTTGAACATTTTCATGGGAAAGATTCTCCACCTCCCCTACCTCTCTACCCATGTTTAATTTGCATCTCAAAAGACAGATTTAAATGAAGACATCAATAGTTGACTACATAAATATTTAACAGAAGATACAATGGCTTTTAATTTCTTTTAAAAAAAACTGATTGGGGTTACAGTTTTGTTTTAAATCTTTTGGTGATTTTTTGCTGTTGCAAGAACACCAGTTTAGGAAATGTTGGAGGGGGCACCAGTGGCACTGAGGAAGAGAGGCAACCCCAGTGGTCCTGGGAGAATGGCTGGCCTCTGCTCCCCTGACTGCTCTCACGCTCTTGCAGGTTCCTTATATTGAAACCTCATTAAAATTAAGATTCAGTTGGGTGCAGTGGTTCACGCCTGTAATCCCAGCACTTTGGGAGGCTGAGGCAGGTGGATCACGAGGTCAGAAGTTCAAGATCAGCCTGACCAACATGGTAAAACACCATCTCTACTAAAAATACAAAAATTAGCCAGGTGTGGTGGTGGGCACCCGTAATTCTAGCTACTTGGGAGGCTGAGGCAGAGAATTGCTTGAACCCAGGAGGCAGAGGTTGCAGTGAGCCGAGATCGCGCCACTGCGCTCCAGCCTGGGCAACAGAGACAGACTCCATCTCAGGGGGGAAAAAGTTAAGCTTCATTATTAGAAACCGAAGTAAGTACAACTGCAATTTTCATTTTGTTGTCTATTTGTGGTTTAACATGCAAAAATTTTCTTGACTCCAGCTAAATACAGTACCCTATAGCAGTGGCTATTTGGCCCCTCAGTTCCATCCCAAGGAAAGTCTTTCTACCTATTAAAGAACAAAAATAGCTTTAGGTTGCAGCAAGATAACCCACACTCGTAGGAGTGTAAAGTGATAGCGTTTTTTGCTACAGTAACTTGGAAATATATTACCACAGGTAAAAAAAATCTTATTTTTAACTCTTTGAACAGGCCTTTATTTCATGTTGTTGTCACTATCCCAAAGGAAATAATAAGCTAAGTGAATAATGAAAATTCATGTGAATTTATCTGCGGGGCTTAATAAAATCTCCGTTTGTTGTAAGTATGCATCAGCAAGTCAAATAGTGTCCTTCACCTAAAGAAAACGTATCCCACCATCTCCACTAGAAACACTGAAAGTTCGTATTGGAATGGTCTTAACCCCCTTCAGCAAACCTAAAACTGGATTCTCACTGGTGATTGGCAAGATCATATTATTCAATATTTCAAGGTTTTTTTTAGCATGTTGTATTTATCCCCAATGCCTAGCGTAGAGCAGGCACTGGCAGAATAGATTAATAAATTCATTCCTAAAAGTGAGTGAGTCATATTTTCCTTAAAACACACTACATTATGTGGAAACAGGCTGTTAAAACTGAGGACACAGCATGATGTTGAAATTAAAAGACATTTAACCTAGATTACAAATATACATTCTGGAAAATACTAACTTCCAGAGGACAGGTGAACACAAAGCAACTAATGAAAAGACAGATTTTTAGTTTTCGAGGAGAGTGAAGGAAGATTTAGGGTACAGTTTCACATTCTCTTTTCAAGCAGGACCACATTTATTTTCCTTCACATCCCCATGAGGGCAATGGCAATAATCAGAAATGTGAGGTGAGCTCCTCAAGTCAGCACATGGCAGAACCAGAATTTCACTGATTACATCAGATTGTAAAGCCCATGCTTTTATCGTACACTACTTCCCAACGCAACTGGGATATAAAGTGCCTGAACAACACAATCACAGTCAATTAGATCCACTCACTTGTGTAAGAGAAACAGACATTTTGCTTCTAAATTACTTTGCCACCTATGTTGGCCTTGCAGCCATTAAAGCAAATCATTTGACCTCTTTGCATTTATTTCTTAATACAGAAAATGAAGAGATTCATTAATGATACCTTTGGCCCCTTTCCTATTCTAACATACCTTTCCCATTCTAAAAGGATTAAGCCTAGAGAAAGAATTCATTTTAAAGTCCTTGATGACTAATCCCCCAATATGAGGTCTAAGACAGAAAGCTCACCTGGCGATATTCTCTACTGGCACTAAGAAAAAGCTTTATATAAAATCACTTCTAACATGGATATAATAAAATGCCTGGAAGTTATGTTAAATTACAGTAATTTCTACAAATATTAATTTCCTTAAAATATTTAAAAATCAGCATAATTTTCATATAGAGGCTATTTTCAACACTCAAGGAATGATGCCTGGTATTTACTTGCATTCCCCTCCAGCCTTGTTTAAAAGTCTTCAACAAATGTGTCCTTTGGAGTAAGTGAAAACAATTTTTCTCTTCTTGCTTTGTATATTCCAAAACTGAAACAATGGAAAAGAATGCCAGGACTCAGTTTTTCTCTAAAAAAGTGAAACAATCCTTTAAGGGATTTAAACAATGGGAAGCCATCTCTTTTTCTTTGAAGAAAGGAAAAAGAAAACAAACAATGATTGCTTATACAATGTTTTTAAGTGTAGTTAGGTGAGACCATTAGATCTATGGAAAGAAGGAAAGCAAGGGAAATAAGAATTACTGCCTCCAAATTCATCTTGTTTGCCTTGTCTGAGGGTGACTTTGGAATTTCAGTTTCTAACACTAACAAGTGTTAGTAACACTCTTTTTCTTTAAAAAAAAAAAAAAAAAAAAACAACGCCAGATGGTGGTGGGTGCCTGTAGTCCCAGGTGCTTGGGAGGCTGAGGCAGGAGAATGGTGTGAACCCGGGAGGCAGAGCTTATGGTGAGCCAAGATGGCGCCACTGCACTCCAGCCTGGGTGACAGAGCGAGATTCCATCTCAAAAAAGAATTTTAAAAAGCCAGACTCTCCAGGGTTGCTCTTCATCATTCAGCCTGTGCTGATAGGTCAGGCCTGGGTTGGATACCAGCAATGGATACATAGGAAAGTGGTAGATGGATCAAGTCCTGGCAGTCTCAGAATCCACAATTCCAGCAAAAGAAAATCAAAGAGGAAACCACGATAGTGTGACAGCTGCTGGGTGGGGGCGGTATATGAGGCTATGAAAATACTTTGGAAGAGAAAATGGAAAATGAAAGACTGTGTAAGCCTTTGCTAGGATGAGGGGCAGATGGACGCAAGTGGAAGACCTAGAGGTGTGAAAGAGCATCCCATGTCTGAGAAATTACCAGAAACACTGAGTAGCTGGAGCAGAGGTGCTGCAGGGGCTGTAGGGCACCGATGACAATCAGGCATGTCCCAGTGGACCCCACGAATGGAGACTGGTTGATCCTGGAGACGTGGAAAGCTCCCAAAGGGGTTTCAGCAGGGACTGACATGATCAATGTGTTTTGTAGAAAAATTTGCTTGACTGCAGTGCAGAGAATGGAATGAGGGAGAAAGCCTGATTGCAGAGAAACCCCTCAGGGAGTTGCAGCAATGAGCCTGGTGAGAGGATGAGGTCTGAACTCAGGCAGTGGCAGAGGGGAGAGACGGGAGCAGCTGAGGAAAAAGAGATTTTAGGCCAGGCGCAGTGGCTCACAGACGTAATTTCAGCACTTTGGGAAGCTGAGGCCAAAGGAGTACTTGAGCCCAGGAGTTGAAAATCATCCTGGGCAACACAGTGAGATCCCATCTTTAAAGAAAAAATTAGTTGAGTACGGTGGTGCATGCCTGTGGTCCCAGCTACTAGGGAGACAGGTGGCCTCATTGCTGGAGCATGGGAAGTCGAAGCTACAGTGAGCTGAGACTGCACCACTGCACTCTAGCCTAGGCAACAGAGCGAGACGTTGAGATTCTGTCTCCAAAAAAGAAAAGAGGGAAATTCTAGAGGTAGAGGCAACAGGCAACAGGCAACAGGCATATTGACAGCATTGAGAGGGTCATTTGGGTGACCCCAGATCTCTGCCTTCTACAACAGAAAGAAGGTGATCCCTTGTGAATTAGGTGCCCATAAGACAGAGCAGGAAATATTTCCCTAGGCAGGTGAACAGAGGGATCTGGTGCCAGAGTGGAGTTGTGAGCTGGAAAGAGGATGATGGTATCCATCCTAACAAGTGGTTTCAGAGGACCAGGGAGTGGAGATCAGGTAGGGAGTATGAGCAGAGTTAAAAACAAAGAGACCTGGAAGGGCGCAGTGACTCACGCCTGTAATCCCAGCACTTTGGGAGGCTGAGGTGGGCAGATCACGAGGTCGGGAGTTTGAGACCAGCCTGACCAACATGGTGAAACCCCATCTCTACTAAAAACACAAAAAATTAGCTGGGTATGGCGCACGTCTGTAATCCCAGCTGCTCAGGAGGCTGAAGCTGGAGAATCACTTGAACCCAGGAGGCAGAGGTTGTAGTGAGCCAAGATCGCGCCACTGCACTCCAGCCTGGGTGACAGAGTGAGACTCCGTCTCCAAAAAAAAAAAAAAAACACACACACACACACAACCAAAAAAACAGACAACAGACCCAGAGGAACTTTGAGCGACAGGAACAATGAAAGAACAGGCAGAAAAGAGGAAACCTTAGAGAAGACCCAGAGTATGGTAGCAGAAAACTAGAGACAGTAGATAGGAGACACTTTGAGAATGAGATAGTGCCTGCAGATTTCTGAAAGGCCAAGCAAAATAGGCTAAGAAATAGCTCCCGGAGAATGTCTCCGATGTGTCTTGTCAGGACTAATGTTAGGGAAATACAGGGCTTTAACATAATAACTGGTGAAGGGAGCTGACAAATAAATTCAAAGAAAACATATTGGACCAGGTGAGGTGGCTCATGCCTGAAATCTCGGCACTTTGGCAGGCTGAGGCCAGGAGTTGGTGAACAGACTGGACAACATAGCAAGACCCTGTCTCTACAAAAATGAAAAATAAAGAAGACATATTAATACACAGCACTTCCATGTATAAGAGAAAGAAAAATGTGACAAAGAACAAAAGATTTTCTTTTACACATTCTTACCTTCCCTAACTTGAAATGAAATATGCAAATCTTGGATTTAAAGATGAGATAGCAAAATACAGTTTTCTGATTGGCAAAGACTGGACTATACGGCTGATTAAAAGACCTAGAAAGAAAACTCAGCACATTATTCTGGCTTGAGATTTGTTCAGGACAGCATGATGCCCTATGCTTATATCAATATTTACTGTAAAATAATTTACACATACCCTCCCAGTGTGCAAAGGAGAAGGTTTTCCAAAGGTAATACATAAGTACAACAGCAGAAAAATCATGTCTTATGCCTTATGGGAAGCTGAATTGAGATCTTCTGTCTTCGTGTAATTCTTTAGTTAAACCCTATCAGTACAAAAGGCTTCTTGCTAGTATTACAAAGATACCACAGTACTCATAAGATTTTTTTTTTATATAATTGCTTTATAAGCTTATGCTGTCCTAAGAAATAGTAATAACCAGCAATGTATGAAAATGATACCAAAAGGAATATTGAATATTAAAGTCTATCACTGTCTATTGCAGCTGTTTCCTTACTTAAATCATATTCATTCACACAAATTAATATGGAGAAGTGAATAAGACAGAGAGATATTTCAGGGGGATTCCAATTTCATGTCTCTTACAGGACAAGAGAGAATAAAATCAGTGCTTTTATCAAAACATTTTCAGGCCGGTACAGGTTTACTTTGTCACTGCTTGGGGGGAACAACAGGGATAATCTGAATCAGATAAAAGTAGGACACTGATCTTCAGTCCATTTCTGCATTTTAAGTCCTCCTACAGCATTCAATGTTTTCTGTGAAGGAAAACGTTGCGCAGGTGTTAAAAATTTTAGTTGGTCTCTAAAAGACGAAGGTGATACGTCGTCCAGTAGAATGCATGCCATCTGTCTTTTTCATTGCTATGTCCCCAGGATCTAACACATTTTCTGATATACATAAGATGCTCAATAAATATCTATGGAATGAAAACTGTCCTGTGGAATGGGAAAGTATTCAGGTGGTCAAAAGAAAATAGAGAATGATATGTTTTGTAAACTTAAGCTGAGACGTTTTCATATAGTGCTTTGTGGGACTTAAGTTAAAGGATCAGCTAATGATTTTGCAATGAGTAAAAACTATTATTCCATTAGTCCAGGAGGGAGGGAAGAGAGGAAAATATCAGTCCAGTATCCTACTGTGAGGGATTAGCTTTTATATTTATCTTACACAAATGAATGTTTTTATGTCCCACTCTTCTCCATTCTGAGATTTTTTAGTTAAGGTTATGTTGTTCTCTTGATATGGAAATTAATTTGTTGATTACTGCTAACTCATTCTACATTTGGCAAATACAAATAACAAAATAATTCAATGGTCAGTGATCTTTCAGAATACGTCACCTCTATATTGACTACCAGCTGAGCTCAAGAGTACATTTTCTTTGTAAAATATGCTTGTATCATAGGTTCAGATGAGTGGACACTGCAACCTGAAAAGTTTGCTTTATATGTTTAGTAAACAGAAGTTTAAAAATTAAGAAAAATACTTAAAAAATTTAGGTATAATTTCAGTTTGTATTATTTGTTAATCATTTTATCTTAGTTGATCTTAAAATGTGGGAATCTGAACACTGATTAAGAAAAACTTCACATTTTCAACAGCTCATTTTGCACACGGGCTAGTCTGACCTATTTTCTACAGATGGCACATAATTTATAATGGATCCATGAAATTTAGTTTTTTTCAAGCTCCAATATTATCAAGTCTACATATAATTTATTTTTAACTTTCAAATGTCCTATTATACAACAAATATGTTTTTCCATATTTGGGAAAATAGATGATCCTATCCTTCAAAAGAGGATGCTCTGTGTTCTCCTCACTCCTAATTCCAAACTGCAACATACATTTAGAACAAGCCAAGTATAATGCAATACAGATTACTGAAAAAGGAGGCATTCAAAGAGAACAGACTCAATCCCATAGAGAAAGAGAAAATGGGGACTGAAGAAAGAGAGGGAGGTATACGCTATTGATAATCTCACAAGAGAACACCATCATCTAAGAAAGTCAGACTATGGGCCATATGCTATGGCGCATGCCTGTAATCCCAGGACTTTGGCAGACTGAGGCAGGAGGATCAATTGAGCCCAGAAGATGGAGGCTGCATTGAGCTGTGACCACAACACTGAACTGCAGCATGGTCAACACAGTGAGATCCTGTCTTAAAAAAAAAAAAAAAAAAAGGAAGGATGGGAGAAAGAAAGACTGTTCCCTACTAGGGACTTTGTAAGAGGCATCCCATTTTAGATAAACAAATGAATAAGCAACTGTTTCTCTGCATGATTCACCTCCCAGGTATAACTCTGCCAACTAGAAGAGAAACTGTTGGCTCTGAGAAGGAAGATGTGACCCTGATTTCAAGAAAAAATTCAGCTAAAGGGGCTTTTGAGATCCCAGTGTTTCCTGCTGAGTTGGCAATAGAAGTATTAATATCCACTTAGGAATATGTTGATCACAAGAATTAGGAACACAAATCACAATCTACCTACAAAATAACAAAACCACAACAACCAAAGATAATTTATGGTCTTTTGAGGTAAGGTCCTGGAACCTAACACCCTTTGTCCAAAATTAGGACAGAAATGTAGTTTTATTACAATTTCAGATGCTAGCACTTTTTTGCAATTTTTACCTCACTGCACTTGCTTATTCTCCTTGCAACAATAAGCTGGATCATTCCTCGTTTATTGCCTTCAGTAGACATAGACCTTCTTAGGGTTTCCATGGCATCTTGGTTTGTCTTGCCCAACAGGGATTCTCCATTTACTGCTATCAGTTGATCATTCACCCGAAGCCTTCCATCCTGGGAAGAAAACAGGTAAAAATAAGTGCTATTAAATAGACTGCTATAAAAGAAGTAGCTTTTCCTTTAGTTAATAAATAAAATAAAAAACAAAGCAAAAAAAAAAAAGTGGAGAGCTTTAATCCTAATGGATTATGCCCAATTGAACACTGGCATAATAACGTCTAAGCAGCTATTGTAGCCTGTGTCTATTTCAATCATTTATACATTTGTAAATCAAGTCATTATCATAATCTGTTTACCAAAATAGCATACTAATTCAAAGGACACAAAGTGATTACTTTCTTGCTTCCAGAAACACCCGTAGAGGTTATTTAGAAATCAAGACATGTAAAAGCTCAAGGCTATTAGACAGTTGCAGAGAACTGTCCCCTTAACAAATGGCCAGGAAATTTTCTCTAGGCTGAGAAATAGAGTAAGTGACCCACAAACAAGGGAGGGGAGGGGAAAGATTAATGTCTACTATATGCCCATTCTGTGTTAGGACCTATGCCAAGTCTTTGCATAGATTAACTTCATTTAACTAGCATGTCTATGGGTTGTATGTTCTGTGAGAGAAAAAAATGAAGAGTTGAAGTTATGGACTCCATCCCCACGTGACACATCACTGAGACATCTCCTAGTTGTTTGATTGTGAATGTCGGTACCATGAAGAAATGAGAAAACTTCTGTTAACTGCATATGTTTTCAAAATAGGAACAGGGTTGAAATTAAAAGTTTCAATAGGAATATGTTTTCAAAATAGGAACAATGTTGAAATTAAAAGGCATACGCATGGTAAAGTTGACACTCACTTTAGATGCTGCTCCTCCATTAATAATGGACTTGACAAAGATTCCCAAATCTGCGTGGTTCTCTTTTGACCGGTTACCTTTGACACTGACACCAAGGCCAGCAGATCCCGAATCATTAAGTGGGACTTCAAACGTCAGAAATTCTCTGGTGCCATCAGGTGTGAGAACAATATCCTCATCTTCTGCTTTCTAATAGGGAAAAAAATTGCACAGCACATTATATTCCAATGTTTCTTTCTCCAAGTTATTTTTAAAGACTGCTAATGAGCAGCTCCTTAATCATAAGAGGCAAAATATTTCCACCAAGTTTCCATAGCAAGATCCATGAAAACAGTACATCTGCACCCACTCCAGAAGATTTCTGGAACCAGCTGTTAATATTTGTATGTAGCAATTATTCAATATTGAACCAAACCTAAACCAGATTTGAGAAAGTTAGGGGGAAAATGTAGTGGAAGGACTAAAGACTAGTAAGAGTTCTAGAGTTCGGGATTTTTTTGGTCTCATTATATACTCTAAACGACAAGAAAAACAGTAACAACAGGAGTAAAAATAAATAAATATAATTCACTTGTCTCCCTTTTTATAAGGAAATTCTGAAGTTATCAATACATTTAATGTTCACTAATGGTGTTTATTCACAAAAAAAAAACAAATCCTGATCATACAAAATCAGCAGAAAACGGTATCTGGGTTCAGACAGCCTCTAACTAATTGCAACGTCAACATCTGTGAGACCAAGTAGAGATATATAACATCACAGAAAACTTTTCCACAACATTGTAGCGTACATAATAGAGCTGGTAAATATTATTCAGGTAATCTTGTTTAATTAATTAGTTATATATCAGATTTAATTTCATAGTCACCAAGTACAGAAGACAAGGAAGACTTTTAAAATAAAAAACATTTAGGATATACGAATTCTTGTTCACCTCCCTTAAAACAGAGGAAGAAATGAAAGCTTAATGTATAACTGAATAAACTGCATTAAGACGACAGTCTATCATTAAGAAAGGCTACACTCCCGAAGAGGAAGCACCCAGCCTTCTGAGGTCCTCCTCCCCAGCAGTCCCACTCATGGCAAAGATTTCCACCATCTCTATACTGGTCATGTCCAAATCAGTAAGGCCAGGATGCTTGTTTAAGCACAAATTCTTGCTCCAACCACATAACAGACATGTGGCACAGGCTCTTCAAGTAAAAACTGAATGGTACATCTAGTTCTAAAACCTATTTCTCCTCCTCTTTTCCCACTTTTGAAATATTTATCCAGCAACTGTTTAATCACTCAAGCTTGACTTATCAAATTATAATTAAAGAATAAGAAATATAATGGTACACAGATATGTAGGAATATACACTTTAAACAGATAGTGCTTTTACAGAATGTTCAATAACATGAAAAAAGTAGGTGACTGCATCCTACCAAATTTTTGAAATGTCCTAATAAGAATAAAAATCAACCCAAGGAATTTGGAATTCAAGAAAATTTGGAATACAAGGAATTTGGGGCATAAACATGCAATCTCAGATGTCTCAATTAGATAAAATACATTTTGAGAGTACACTATTCATCTGTAAGTGAATTTTTTAGATCATCATAAAACAAGCAAAATGCTATTTATAAATCGTTAGACCCATAGTAATGTGATATGTAAAGTGATGTTTCTAATTTACAAATATGTAAAGTTAACATTTTATGGTAGGACATCTTTGTGCTATCTCAAAGGATGGCCTCATAGTTTTTAAAGGACAAGTAACACTTCAATTACAATAAACTTGCTAATGGGTTAAAAAAAATTAAAACTTATATAATGAAGAACTCAAAATAAGAACCTGAAAAAATACAGGGTAATAGCCATGTTAACTATGCAAAGTAAGTACATTTTACAATCAAAGTCCAAATAAAGCCTTAAGCCTGCTCATTATAAAAACCAGATTTAAAATATTCCCAGAGAACAATTATAGCTCAAATAAAAACAATGTATTGTGAGCAAAAAAAGATGAAATATATCAAACACTTTGATACAAAAGTATTTTTATATACATGCTTTGCTCTATAAACATGAATATTCAACACACTTTTTATTTTGGTCCATGTGGCTCAAGGGTCTCACTCTGTCACCGAGGCTAGAATGCAGTGGTCAATCAACACTCACTACACCTTTGACCTCCCCAGGCTAAGGTGATCCTCCCACTGCAGCTTCTAGAGTAGTTGGGACTACAGGTGCATGCCATCAAACAGGGCGAATTTTTGTATTTCTTTAGAGATGGGGTTTCACCATGTTGGCCAGGCTGGTTTCAGACTCCTGGGCTCAAGCGATCTGCCTGCTTTGGCCTCCCAAAGTGTTGGGCTTACGTGCCCAGCCCCTTGAAACATTAACAGAGTACTAAATAATGACTGTGTGTAAATGAACTGCACTACCTCAATATAAAATCGGTTACAGAAATATAAAGTATGGTAAATTTTGATGTTTAAAATACAAAACAGCATCAATATACACCATAGTTCTCCCTTGCCTTTAAATCTGGAGGTCATTCAAATAAAATATTACTCTGTCAATCAGTACTGCCCGGAAAAGCTACATTTGAAAAAATGGAAAACAAGAATAGTCTTTCTATGGACACATCTAAGTCTCATCATTCACTATGCTTACTTGCTTCAACTCTGGAAGGTTCTTAATTGTTACTTTCTGATTTGAATCTTCAGTTGCTTTTTTAGTGTTTACTGAGTTTTACATTTCCATAACATTTTACCAAGGCTTACAATTCTCATATTTTTCCTACTTGAAGGATCAGGTAAGGAGCTGGCTGCACATATAATGAAAAATTTTAATCAAGTTGGAATATTTTCTGACTGCCGATCTCTGAACCTGTTTTAAAAAAGAGCATATTCTCCAGAGGACAGTTTCATTTATTATAACAACTGCAGAATGGGAATAATCTTTTTCAGCTTTCTTATCAAGTCTTATTATTATCATTAAGAACACTGATGTGAAACATTGTATGTTTCATGTGATATTCCATTATTAATCCATTTGGCTTTTGACATAGACAGAAATTAATGCCAGCTTTTAGAACTTAGTTCTCTGGCAGAAAAGTGTTTTTAAAAAATTTTGCTCTTCAAAAATCATTTGAAATGCTGTATTACTGAGAACGTTCATAAAGTCAGATAGTATAGGAATCTCCATCTTCTGATGTAAAGTAGAAACTTTCTATCACCTTGTTATTCCACCCAGATTCTGCACCTTATCAATTGTTTCTTGAATTAAGATCTTTCTACAGAAATGTAAAAAATATTTTCTTTAACTCGCTCCTGTCATCTGTGCACAGTCATGTCACTCAAGCACACCTTTCTCATGCACATACATGTGTGTATACCTCAGTGATTGTTTTCATCAATAAAGCCTGTCAGTTCTTCCTTTGCCCATTTCTCCATTACCATTTGTTGTCTTCAAATGCCCAGAACAAAAGGGCACCTTTGCTAAGCAACCTGCTGAGTGGGTATTGTGAAAACTACTTCCTATCCCACCCTCCTGAGAACAGCAGAAAAGATGTACATTTCTATCTGTAGTGAGACAGAGAAAGAGTCACAAGTGGTCATCACCACGGCCCCTTTTTCCTTCTTCCCCAAATATCAGTCCAAAAAACTGAGAATAGAGCTGGCCTATAGGCCCAATTCCACAGTTAATCTACAGCACAGGTGTTATCTATAAAAAAGGAAATAAGAGTTGATTGTACTAAGCAGCAGAAAAACAATCATGGGAAGGGTAATCTCTAAGCCACAACAAATGAAAATTTGGATGAGAATGTATAAAATATTGTGAAGAGAGGCAAAAGAAACATGGTCTGTGCACAAATGAGAGAAGGCCATAAAATTATAGGAGTGAGCTCAATAGCCAATTTTCGACTTTGTAACAAAATATGTGACTCAGCAAAAGTTTTATCACTCCACTATAAATCATTAATTTCTCTCTCTCAAGATCTGCCCTTATCTAGAGAACTATCTTTTTTTTTAGACAGGGTCTTGCTCTGTTGTCCAGGCTGGAGTGTAGTGGCGTGATCATAGCTCCCCATAACCTTGAACTCCTGGACTCAAGTGATTCTCCTGCTCTCAGCCTCCCAAGTAGCTGGGATCCCAGGGCATACCACCAAGCCTGACTAACTTCTTCTTTTTTTTGTAGAGACAGGGTCTTGCTATGTTGCCCATGCTGGTCTCAAATTCCTGGGCTCAAGCAATCCTCCCACCTCGGTTTCCCAATGTGCTGGGATTATAGGCAAGAGCCACCATGCCCAGCTGAGTTATTATCTTTAATGCACAAATCCCTAGTAAATTAATAACAAAAAGATAAGCAGTCTGCATCAAACAAGAAAGGGATATGAACAAGCCATTCACTAAAGAAAGATGAGAGAACCAATAAATAAACCTCCAACTACAAGGTTCAATCTTACTTGCAAATCAATCAAAGGTTATCAAATTGCTCCATACATTTTCTTTAATGATATCCAACAAATATTGCTATGCCATAGAACATTAAAAAAATAAAAGTAATGATATTTAATACTGTGGAAGGTGTGGTGAAATGGGCATGTTCTTGCACTGCTGGTGAATGTAAAAAATGGTACAATAATTATGGAAACCAACTTGGCAATGCTTATCTAAACCTTCTACAGTTTGCCTTTTTCTTAAGCTAGAAATATTACTTTTAGTAATATGGCCTACAAAAATAGTTGTGATCATGTACAAAGATTTAACTGTGAGGGTATTGTTTTAATTACGATAGCTAAAAACTGACATGTATGACAGTAAGTTAGGAAAATTAAGATATAGCTACACAATGGGGATGCCATTCAGCTAATAAAGTGTCTTATCAAAATATTATGTAAGACAAGAAAGTATTTGTGACTAAGAAATTGAGTTTTACCCTTTGGGCTTTCATAACTTCCAGTACGCCAATCAAAAACCTCCACAACATATTTTTATGAATTAATGTCTGCCTTCAAAGATCACTAGAAGCTTCAGAAGCTAGGAATTTATGTCAGTCTTCACTCATGCCTGGGGCATGACATTTATTAACAATAATAGGATATGTGGCTGGGACATGATACATATTAAATAGGTAGACAAGAACATCTTTTTATTTATTTATTTTTTGTGAGATGGAGTCTCGCTCTGTTGCCCAGGC